ACATTATAATTGTATCATTTCAGTGCAGTGTAAGAAAAGTCCAGATGTGAGAAGTGTGAGTTAAATGGGTGTCAAGAAATGATACAGTACTATAAACTCTTATCGTGACCGAGCAACAAGATCATAAGGAGAAGCTGAGAAAGCATTATGGAAGGATTTTATATGTATATTAGTGTAAAGCCTGTTGAAATGAAGCGCGGCATGATTTTTTTTTTGTGTATTCATCTCTTACCCTCTTTATGTTTTATTTCTTTCCTTTTGTGCCTTTGTCTCCTTCCAAACGTTCTTCCATATTCCTTTCCTATCCCTTTCAACTTATAACAATGAAAAATATCAGCTGATTGTTACTAAAAGTACCGAAACATTGGGAACCACCTACAAGACAACAGGACATTACCACTCCGAAGATAGTTGACATCTTCACAGCCATCAGAACCTCAATCTCAGATACTTCTAAAAGCTATCTAATGATAACACCATTTTTAAAGTAAAACATTCTACCATCTCATGCAATTAATAAGAACGTCAGGCTTCTGAGAGTTCAATCTGCCATCTGGCTTAATTACGATCACACAAATATATAATGCACCAAGCTGGTTGCACCATGTGCCAACTGCTTCATATTTCGCTGTATTAGGTTTGTAATTGAAAAGTTTTCATGTGATTGGCCACCAACTACTGAGCTTTCTGTTTTTACAGCCATTTCTGTGGTGTTATGGAAAAGAGGGCTAAATCACTAAACATTACTTTCCAGGAGAATAGACTACTGTAGATGTCTGTCCAGTATTGTAGTTACTTAACTACTTGTTTCGTCATGTCACTGAATTGAAAACATTGCCCGTAGTGACATTATTCAGTTTTTGTTTGATCCTTTTAATAAGGAGAATTTTGCGATGAGGCTACATATTTTTGGCCAGATTTGGATGTAACCCTCTTTTCTGTATCTTTGTAGGCTTGATCTGATTCCCTGCATCATGGGACAAGAACCTCCCGTATGCAGTGATTCTCGTTATACGCGCTTTCGCACATCCGCGTCTTTATTTGGGTATTGTGAGAAACGTTAATATCTTACCCGCGGTCACAGTAGAACGTTTCCCTATTTACGAATTTTCATTACATGTGGCGATCCCCAGGAACGCAACTCCCGCGTATAACGAGAGTCACCTGTACCCTATTAGTCGTACATGTTACGCTGATTTTGGATCAGAAATTCTGTTCTGTGCTAACAAACACGAAATTAATCCACTTATTTATATAGCAACTGTGAATTCAAGATTAACAACATCTGAATAAATTATTAATATTTTATGTTTGTAGAAGGCTTACGTGTTTTTTCACCGGTATTTAGCGTGTTTAACTTTCTGTCCGGCAGAGCACGCTTAAGCACGCACACGTTACATGGATTAAAAACTTAAACCTAGAAGAGTGATACAGTTGCTCCCATAACATTTAACCATCATGGATGTGAAACTATGACTCTGAGCACAAAGAGAAGAACAGAGGCTTAATGAGCTTCAGAACAAATTGCTAAGAATAATATCTGCATTTAATAGAAGACGACGGAGAACGTTACTTCGTGAGGGCTTCATAATTTATGCTCTTTACTTGGTCCTTGTATGGAGAAGTTTAGGTGGGCAAGGTATGAAGCAGGCTTGGGGAAACAACACTAAAGTTATTCATGGGCAATAATACCCACCTAAGGAAATTTGCAAAAGAAATATGCGTATAGAAAGTGTGTTTTAATGAAAAATAATACGTCCATATGGCCTTCCTTCTGGAAAGTTGATTGGGAGGAACTGCATTCATGTTTTAAAATGGATAAGCAATTACTAAAATGGACAGCGGTCTTCATTTAATGCCGGGCCTTATTACCCGCGGATATCTTTACAAAAATTGGGTTCGAGAACCTTATGAAAGTCTCAGGTATAGACTAGAAAAATATTAAATCATATCTTAGACAAGAAGTTTGTGATCATGCAGGAGAATACGAACAATCGCCTCAGCACTTGCCATCCCTCCGGGTCTCTGCTGAGTGTCCTGGGTCTTTGAGACCGTGCAGTGAGACTGACATCGTCTGGTGTCAAGGTTTGACGATGAGCCCGGAGAACCTCAATCGTAACGTAGTTCCTGCAGGCAAATACTGGGACGGTACTTTAAAATAATCCACGACCGATTTCGTCGACACAACTTCTAAATACCACAGTTGCAATCATTATGCTATCTGCTGTGTGTGGCCTTGCAAATAATGTACTGGGGTGGTCCGGCACGCAGTTCTAGGTTGAAAGAAACGAGCATGCCTCATGAAACGAGGTCGTTCACGTTGCTAATTAATGATAACTTACACTTTCGAATGCGGGAAGGACGTGATCGTCAGCTACGTTTGCTCACGCTCGACGCAACCGTGCTTACGAGTGTCAGGGCGGCGCTCCGTTCACTTGGACCACAGCAGTGTTCATGTCAACCGTGGCAGCCGGACTAGCACTTTGAAAAAAAAGCTTTTTAATTTACTTTCATCGTTTTATGGTACCCCATACTCTTGAAGACAGCAGTATCGATCAGATGAAAGGCAGATCCAACCAGCCAGGCGTTGTTAGCGAGCTATTTGCTCGCCTCGAGCGATCAGTTGTGTTCCAGTGTGTGGGGTAGTAACGAATCACGAGAGCAAGACAGAATACTCTTGTGTTGTTTTTTTCGATGAAAGCTCCTCCCCTGGTATATAACCTGTGAAGTTGATACAGCATAATCTGTAGGTCTAAGCCAGCGCTGTTCAGAGACTTGCAGTGCGGACTGTACCTCGGCGAGTTTGTAGTTTTTTTATACCGTCAGTGGACGAGTGTTCGAAAGGTGGAATGCCGCCGAATGGAGACGGCTGCAATGTTGCGACCCGCTGCAGTCCGTTGCTAACAACACAAGCAATAATGACATCAAGAACACATATCGAGAAGAATGTTTAAACTACTTGTATTCGTCACACGCTTTGGGTGCACATGTTCCTCGTTTCTCACGGGCGAAACTCCATCTGATGCCCCAACTCAACAATTTGGCAATTTTACCAAAACAATACTTCAAGGAATTGGCCCAGGTACTGTGGTCATACAGTGCGCAGCAGGACATGGTTTATTTATCTAACAACTTGGCGCGATTTGAAGGACCCCCCGGACTGGAAGAATTTCATTTTGGGGGCACCATCCCCTCGAAACAGGGTTAATTCTGCGTGTTATTATTCTTGTTCGTTGCCATATTTATAATTTCAGTAGAACCATAGCGTTGCTGCTGCCATCGGCAAACCAATTGAAATGAATTTGAATTCGTCACCATGTTTTGTTATGTTTCCTTGACCCAGTATTGCCAAGGAGACCGCTATATTTTATCACATTTCTCTAAAGCGGCTTATCGCACCTGGGACCTCAAACATTTGTGCCACTTAATTCTTAACGTTAGTCTCGAATATTTTCTCGCATTGCTACTGTCGTGAAAAACCGACCTTGTGATTTTAGGTGTCCCTAGGGCCCCGATATTTGGGTTTACGTAGAGCAGTTTACATAAAGGCTGAAACACAAATCAACGGTATTCTGCAAAACTACTCTAGCTATTCTGAGTACATGTGTAATTAAAATAAAAGAAAATCCGAAATAATGCTCGACACAATATAATTATGTGCCATGTGGGGTGATACGTATATTATTCGACTGACATGAAGAATTTACAACGTCTAATCTAAATATTTAATGAGAGATATTTGCGACTAGAGACTTGGCAGCCCTGATGGGCCAAGTGTCGCAACAAAGGCACGTCACGGCTGTTGGGCCCAAAATAGCGTGGTTCTGTTCACTGCGACCAGTGTTGAGGGAAGCGCTCTACTGTTCACAAGGGGCTCGAAGCCATGCCCCAATACGATGACGGCTTTCTGGAACTACCAGAACGAGGCTGGCGCCGATACAAGGTTACGCAAGGTCACTCTACAAGACCCGTCACCCCGACGCTGCTCGCCGTGGCGACCCTCTGCGATGACCGGGAATCCGGCGAAGGTAGGACCGACATGTGCTGCCATCTTGCAGCACTGGAGAACGGCAAAATGGCTTCCCGATCTAAGCACTGGGACACGTATCTATCTATTCGCTTATCTCAGAATTCATATTCTGTCACCGATTTTCAGGTAAATAAATCAGACTCCAACATAAGCCGCAGGACATCCATAGGAAGACATCGTGTATTATGCAGTGCGATACTTTCTTAAAGATCAGTGTATTTCGGCTTTCTGTTATTGTCGTCCGAAATTTGAGTGCTATCGCTTTCATGGCGTGGTGTTTAGGCTTTGCCCCAGGGACTACAACGACAGGAGCGTACATGTTACTTCCGAGGTCAGTCTAGTACACCGGGTAAGCGCACGTGAGACTAACTCGATGTCCCTTAAAAGTCTCCACACAGGTGTTAGTTTAACAGAGAAGTCAGACATGAGATGGCTGATTCCAAGGGGTGAAAAATTGTCCCGCTAACGCGACGGAGAAGCTTGCGGGAAGAGGAAGTACAGGGCCTACTCATTCTTTGCCTAGACACTAGATGGGAGCGAGTGATCAGCGTCACGCCCCGCCGCGCTTTACCCCCGGGGAAGACGCCACGATGCCCATCGGGCAAGGGGGTGGGTGGGCGCAGAACCGATCTGGATGCAGAGGCTAAAAAAAAGAATTTCCCCCGCCGGGGATCGAACCTATTTCGTCTTGTTCGTGGTCTGATACAACACTGACCGAGCTTTCCGGCTCACCGTTGATGCCACTTAGAGAAAAAACATTCTGGAAAGCCAAACATTGTTCAGCAGTGTCAAAAGTAAGGGTTTGATTTTTATTAGAGACTGAGTAGTGTGAGTGCCAACCAGACGCCATTTTTTGGCTCCTGTCCGAAATAACACGCGCGCTTCGTAGTATTACGTCACGTCGTCCTCTCTTCTTGTTCTATAATGAGCGAGGTAGCAAGTATTGGCAACACTGATCACAAGTAAACGTTCTGGGATTTGAGCGGAATATTCAGTTTTGATATTGATCAAAGCATGTGGATCAAATTTGATCGAAATCTGTCCAACCAGAACCGTGTTGTCTCATGCGAACGGACAGACGATGATAATGAGTCTGTCAGGTTTTCCCCAGGCATTTTATATAAATGGCGACACAGTGGGGCAAACTTGATCATCCGACCCGGTTACGACTGCAGTTGCGATCTTCGCCAAGTCTTACATCTGTTATGATTTAACCATTTTTTAGTCAAGCCTTGGTCACTGAGAGATCTGATATCCGAGGATTCTTATAAAGCCACAATTACCCCTACCCACGAATAGTAAGTCTGCCAAGGAGCGTGGTCTGAGTACTGCAAGTGAGTGACCAGCTTCACGACGTCCTACCCACGAATAATAAGTCCGCCAAGGAGCGTGGTCTCAGTGCTGCAAGTGAGTGACCAGCTTCACGACGGGTCAATTTTATCCCGTGGAAGACCTCATTGGATGGCGGCGAAGAGAAACATTTCTTTTACTGGAAATCTAACAGTCGTTAATGGTTGAATCTAAAGTGTCTGGCCGTCTATGAAGTGACCTGTCGATTCACAGCTGTCATTATACGAAAGCAATCGTTTCGCTTTTCTTGTAACACTGAAATTTCATCTGCGGGCAAACGCCGATCCATTGATCACTGGTTGTGGGACACTGAACGCAGTGCACACCATGGCTTGGCTAGAAAATCCCGGCCTGGATTCCGTTGTGATGGCAGGCAAATGAACCGAAGAACAAACACATCCGAAGTTCTCTTCCTGCGAACACTTGGGCCATCTGCTTGAAATTCTGTTGTTTCCGTTCCCGGTTCGACTTGCTGTCTGCAATCCGCCTGTGCACGGCCGACGTTTTCCCCATTTCCTCCCAAAATTTGCGTCTAAAGGAGCAGGTCCTTACCAGGTTTTTTCCCAGGACCTCCCACTTCTCCCATTTTCCGCGTGCACTCCCTGTATGGCTGTCCTGAACTGTAATTACGTCACCGCGCGAAGTGACGTGGGACGCTACATATGACGACAGCGTGGGGCGGGGGCCCAGGAAGGCACTCTCCTCCTCCCAAGTAAAGTATCCGTGGTCTCCCGGTATCAGTAGAAGCATCGTTAGTGCTGGGTTTGAAGATAAACTTTTCGGTTCGTTGTGTGGACTTCCTGGTCTGAGTGTCTGTGGCCTGTCCCAGTATTTGGCCGAGCTCTCAGACTGAACGGCTGGCAGCGATGAAGTGTGGCCTCAGGTGGGTTGAGATTCACTACACAGAGAGACGTTGCTTATTTTAGAAATCTAAAAGCAGAGTGAGAAAATTAACCACGGATAATGCGACGTTTCGGCACTGGATATGAATACTCGTATTGTCGGGTAACAGACTGGCACAATATTCGTTGTTCAATCTCTTTATATTTACTTGTATCTTCCTCCCTCATTTTGTGACAAATTAATTGTAGTTCATTATAAACAAATTACAGTTGCAAGAAATAGAACAGATTCCAAAAACGTGCAAAGAATTAGGAGAACATAAGCGTGCTTAATTCTGAGATCTCTGCATGAGTCGAGTGAAACAAACGAAGTTACTTTTTGTCGAGTCTGTATCGAGCAATACTTTCAAAAAGTAGTCTGTATTCCGGTGTGGGGTACATGTATTTTCCAGGCGTGCTCCTGCTGTCCTGCGTAGAGTACCATACGGCTTATATCAAAGCTAATCACACAACGTAGTCTCAACCCCCCACCCCGCGTTTTCATAGGTATACAACATATTAGAGTAGATTAAAAATAAAAGTTGTAAATCTTAACGAGATTTATATTTTTGTTAAACATTGCCTTCGATTTGATCTTCACGTAAAATGCCCGTTGTTACATTTGATCGATATGTAAAAAAGTAAAATTCGCCCCATTAGTTTTAGTGTGAACTTCTAATGCCAAATTTAAACCATATCTGTTGAGTAGTTGCACTTATGTACAGAATTCATGGTACACTGGACAGTAAGCCAACCACTGCCATAAACTTTAAAGTAGTGATTCACAAGATACGGTCACCAGTTATTTTCGTGAATGATGCAAGTTTCATTACAGTGTTGGCATTAATTGCATCAACGTGATTATATTTAACTCGAAACAATGATCTTTCACACATCCTGTGCCTGTGCATCTTGGAACTTCGGCATAGAAAAACGTAATTTAAAACAGAAAGCGATTACGACGGTAATTCTGCGACCA